TCTGTCTTATTTATTTCTGCATTTCAAACACAATTTTTTTTCGTGTCTCTTTCTTACGGCCGCTTTATTTTCATTGTCTTGTTGCTATTCGCTCGTTATTTATTTTCTTTTGCTTTTCTTAATTTATTATTTTTTATTCTTCTAACTATTCATTTAAATGATGAAGGAAGGTTACCGACTGTTCAATCACTTTTGCGTTGAGACTATGTGCATTATATAGGTACAAATGAGCTATAAATACCCTGAAAAAAATTCGGGCTGCTAGCTTATTGCTACGGAGATACTGTACTTTTACGGTAGGTTTTTATATTTTAATGTCGTGGTCTCCCCTCAGGAACACAAAAAAAAATGATTTTCGAATTTCAACTTGAAACTTGACATTGAACAAGACTTTATCAAGAACAATATTTTGTGAAAGTTTCAGATCTTTTGATCTATTCCTATCCTAAAATGAGAACATCAAATTTTTCTGGCTTATCCGAATGAAGTTATCATAGTTGTATCTACAGATAGTAACAGCAACAAGATCTGAAACTTTCATAAAATACTATTCTCGGTAAAGCCTTTTTCAATGTCAAGTTTCAAGTCGAAATTCGAAAATCATTTTTGTGTACTCAAAAAGTGAGTACACTCTAGAATCGGTCAGTGTGTCCGGCCGGCCGTCCGTTTACACGATAACTTTTGAAAGAAGAGTCCGATCGCGATGAAATTTTCAACACAGTTTAGTCTTAACAATATCTCGGTCGAGTTCGAAGATGAGAATGATTAGCCGAGCCATTGCTGAGTTATTGCAAAAATAGTCATTTTTTCCTATCAGAAGATAGATCCTTCTCTGTTTTCATAAAAAACTTTTCCTATCATAGTCAAATAAAACCGCAACTATTACATACCATTCGATAGAGAATTTCACGAGCTACAAAATGGTATATAAAACATAAAGAAACAAGAAAGCTAACTCGCCTATTGCAAAGATAATTAATCGGAATTCGGTTCTGTTTTTGTCTACGCCCTATGTGATCCACAATTAGAGGTCTATCTTCCCATCACAGAGATGATAGTTCGAGGTTTTCTAGAATGGAGAACTCGAATCTATGTTCCATTCGCCTCGAAATCCCATTGGTTGAGCAGTAACCAATAGAAATCAAATTATAGGAAAAACGAGTTTCTTAGGGTAAATCAAGGTGAAGAGTTCAAATCTGATCTGTATTTGCCTCCAAATCGTATTGGCTGAGCAATAGCCAATAGAAATTAAGTGTTTACAGAAAGAGTTTGCCAGGACAATTTTGATGTCCACACATTCTAGGATGACTCATCTGTCTCATTCACTTTTTGAAGTACACATAATTCTCGGATTTAAATCCGAGGTTTCCACATTTATTTCTTCTGTTTCTGAGGAGAACAACGGCATTAAAATATAAAAAACATACCGTAAAAGTGCAGTATCTCCGTAGCAATAAGCTATCAGCTCGAACTTTTTTCAGGGTATTCATAGCTCATTTGTACCTACATAATTTAGATAGTCTCAACGCAAAAGCGATTGAACAGTTGGTGACCTTCTCTCGTGAGAAATAAGCCTGTCGTATACATATATTATATACCATACAATATCTCAATGCACTTTTATATATCTCGATAAATTCAAAAACACTAATATTGATTATTCTCGAAAGTTAGAACCTGATTAGTTCATACTTTTATGAAGAAGTGTGTGTCATGGGAAAGCCTTGGGAGAAGGAGTGGTATGACAGTCGCCAAAACCTCGATTTAAACTTCCACTCCCTATTTTCTTCGAAAATATACGTGAATTTCATAAAATAATAGGTGCTTTCATTCATTTCGCCTTTCTGTGATAGATCACTTTGTCGATATACTAAACAAATAAAAACTTAAATAAGTAACTACTCACTGGTGATACTATTGACATTACTCGTTCAGTTGCAGGTTTTATTTTTCCAACTATAGTTGGCCATCCATGTGAATTTCCAACACCAAAGGTATATCGATCATCATTTGACATTGTATTATGTTTTTTGGGCATTCATTAAGCTGGTGTTCCTCTGTATATGCGCTATACATTTAAGCTGGTGTTCCTTTGCATTGAAAAAGTGTTCCTCGTCTAATTAGAATATATATATATAGATATGTTCTAGTTAGACGAGGAACACTTTTTCAATGCAAAGGAACACCAGCTTAAATG